TCTTATCAAGTGAGTGTGTGTGTGTGTAATATTTGTCGACAACTTTTGGTATCGTCAAAATTCGGGCCGTTGATTTGAAAAACAATTTTAGTAGTTTTTAAAATGAACATGAATGTGATGTTGTAAGTGTGAAATTTTCAACTAAAATGGTAAGCTAATATTTTACAAATAGCATGATTCAAGCAAAAATGTTCTTATTTTCCCACATCAAACTACTACTGCTGCTAATAATAATGAGTGATGCTACATATACATAATACGGTGTTCAAAACGGTATCTACCCCCTCACATAATGAGAGACCTACTTCGAATAAAATATAATATATTCGAAGTGGATCCCTCTTCTTACGAGGGAGTGGACACCGTTTTGAATATCACATTATGTACATGTAGAATATTTCAATAATAATAGCACCGCTATCTCATGCATATGTGGGTCCATCTTGCTTGGCTGTGCATCCACCACCTAAAGTCTACTTTTTCACCTATCTTTCCTTTGAAAAGCAATGGAAATGCAAACTCAAAAGTACCTTTACTTGCCCTACCTGCCTTGTCAACCAATTTGTTATAAATTTGAAATTCTGAACGCTACTGAATAATATTAAAAGAAAATTTTGAAATTTAGCCTAATATTTGGTGTCATAATTACATTTTTACTTATAGTAAATGATGAATGTTCTATGTACATCTAGGTTTACTAAACTTTATTTTTTGTCCACCAACCAATGTGATGTGACATCTCTTCATTTTGTCACCCAAGTACAAATAGCATATGCGATCATAAGTTTACCTGTACCTAAACTTTTTAAGCTCTTGAAAAGTGATTTGACTTCATTATAATCATTCGTAAACTTAAAAAAAAATTTCTTATTTTTTAATCACGTATTTTTCATCGTAACAGCATTACAAAATACATATTTTTAAAAGATCGGAACCCAAACAAGCCCTAAACTTTTAGCTTTTAGTCAAACAATTCTTTATTTATGTGCAGGGACAAGAAGTTATGATGAAGTTTGCCAATATGAATATATTCAGACATGTCAGAACTTATCCCATGAAAAAGAACATTTTAAATTTGACCACTAAGGATCTATTTCACATTTTAATCTAGATAACATAAATAAAATTTTTAATAATTTAAATTTTTTAAACTTCTATGATCAAAGCATCTCTCTTTCTTGACTCGTTTTTTCCTTTAATCTACAATTCAAAATTGCGTCACTCCCCAAAAGATACTCCCCTATATATTGGATGAAAAACCAATAAAAGATTTTAAGAAATTACAATAAATTGTGAGAATTTGAGAGGCTCACTCTCTCTCCCATGGATACCTTAATTTTTGTCTACGTAAAAAAGTAAATATTCCCACTACTTTAGCTAACCATATCCTCAAATGAAAGAAACAAATATTTCTATCTTATTTTTAGCTCATATTTGGTGGGATTAAAATTAAATTTTTTAAAATAGATTTTGATTTTAAAAAATGATGAAATGTCGTGAATAATATGAAATATGTGGTTAAAATTAATTGTTGACTTTGATTTAGATTACAGTTTGAATTTTTTATTTCTATCAAACAAGGGCTTAATTTCGTTCGCGTGCACAAACATATACAAATTAATATGTGTGATTAAAATTAATTGTTGACTTTCACTTATATTAAAATCTGAATTTTTAATTTCTATCAAACAATGGCTTAATTTCGTTCGCATGCACAAATGGGTACAAATTAATATGTGATTAAAATTAATTGTTGATTTTGACTTAGATTAAAATCTGAATTTTTCATTTCTATCAACTTTGGTTTACTTTCGTTTGCATGCACAAAATGTTAATATCAGCTAAAATCTTACATCGTAATAACAATCAAATATGCTCATTTGATAGGGTAAATCACACCAAATTAAGAAGAAAATGAAACTAAAATTTTATTCACGCTGTCCCATTTATATGGGTTGAGTTTCATTTTTCTCTTGTCCCAAATATATAGACAGGTTTTCTAATGTAGAATATTTTGTTGTGTTCATTTACCAATATATCCTTATTAAATTTTTCCCACTTAATATGTCAACTTCTTGAAATCATCCGAATACACATATTTCCCACTTCTTGTAAACATGAAACAACTCCCATTTCTTCTTTTTCTTCAAATTATTTATTAGTTCCTATAATAATTTAATTTTACATATTCAAAATTAAATCGAAGTAAATTAGGAAAGATTTTGACAAAAATTAATTTTCCAATTACAATAAAGAAGCATAAAACAATTATATGTAATTGGGACGGGATGGAGGGAGTATATTACAAAGCAGTCATATTTAATACTGCACAGCGAAGATCTTATCATCTCCTTATGGATAATTACAATATAGAATTACATGAACAGATAAAAACTGAAAATTCTATGACTGAACTTCAGCAATGTTGAACCAGATTTGCTCAAACGCCTTGATAATAAGATCATGATATTCATCTGAATTCAGTGAAAGATAACTGGCCAGAAGATTTTCCAAATCCTTGGATGCCCGGATATTGTTTTCCACTATCATTTCCATCATAGATTCCCTGAAATCTTTTTCAGGATCAAATGATGCCTTCACAATTGCAACACTCTCCGTGTATAATTCATTTTTCTTCTGTTGTGCCTTTGATCGCCTGCTAATTAATACACTCTTTTGGTTCCCTTGGATTTTCTTGCTTGGTAGTCTTGGTGAATTGCCGCGGATCTTCACTCCTGGTGAACGGGATGTAGATTTTCGGGTTGTGGGAGTTTGTTTCTGATGACAATGAGTTTCGATTTCATCGGAGAATGGAGAAGAATTTTTTATCTGGGAGGGATCTTGTTCGGGAAGGGGCTGCATGGTGATGGTGTTGAATTTTGGGGGTTTTGTGAGTATTGGGGGAAGTTTTCGCTCTGATTCCTCTGTTTCTTCAATTTCCAATGCGCACATCTTTTCATCCATGTCCATGATGATATCATTACCCGAAGAATTGAAAGTACAACTGCAGGAACTCGACCACGATGCAAGTCCATTTACCGATGGAGGAGCATCAAGAGTGTCAGAATCAAATTCAGATGTCGGAGATTTAAGGAAATCCATGTCAGTAGAACTGACAGTTGAGCACTCAAAATAGTCCCGAAACTGTTCGACTTTATCCCTGACTGAGTTGACTGACTCTTGATAGTTGCAAACAGAAGGGCTAATTTGTCTTGGAGAAGGCTTGTACACGGTCTTTCTCTTTGTTTTTTTCTTCGATGATTTCCTTGGTGGATCAAAGGGTCTTGGATTCTTTGGTGAAGTATAGAGTTTTTCGACTCTGATGGATTCTGTGGTGTGGTAGTAGGATTTTCTTGGGTATAAAAAATGTGGCTTTTGGGCTGCTTTTGTTGGTGAAGGGTGCTTTTTGTTGATTGTGTTATGGTTTCTGGTTTTGCTCATGTCTTTGAGCTTGTAAAACCAGGCATTTGGCATCATATCTGATAATCTAAACCTGTAATTTCCCATTGAAGATGATCACTCTCCCTCTCTACTGAGACAATCAGATACTTAGGCTTTTTGGTTCTATATTATGTTTGAGAATGAAGATTAGAGAGAGAGATAGGAGGAGTTTTATAGTGAACCTCAAACAAATTGGTTCTTAGTACTCTCCGTGTGCAGTGTCTTGTTCGTGTTTCGCCTTCGTGCGAGTACTGCACAAATAGATGGCCCCATATACCTTAATTTTACTGGAAGTAAAAAATAAAAAGAGAGAGAGAGAGAGAGAGTTGATTTTGATATTGGAAGGTGGGAGACAATCATATACAAAAGAAACTTTGATGGGGGGCCTCCAGGGAAAACACTGCATCAATGCAAGTGGAAGCAGCAAGAAGACAGGTTTGTGCTGATTCTGTTTTATGCTGGTTCAACTTTATTGCATAATGTAGCTGGTGTATGGTCTCTCTCTCTCTCGCACTAAATTGCCATTGGTGAGTCTTTATAATCATAGGATATCTGCAAGATCTTAAAAAGTTTATAGGCATGAAAGAGAAATGTTAGTTATGAAGGGAAGTATAAATGAGAAAAGAATGATTCTCTGTCAATGTATTTCCTCTCTCTCTCTATCTAGATAAAATGAGAATAAGTTAAATATTATTTTTATTAAAAAAAAAAAGTTGAATATATAGATCATTTTTCGTTATTTTGTTCGGTTCATTACATTTGGGTACCGCTGTTTACATCTATGATTGTATAATTGCTGTATATTCATCCAACTTTATATTCATTCATATTAAAATGTTAAAAAATTATTAATTTTATCCACGTCAAATTGCAATATCATCCTTATTAAATTCATTCATTTAAACACTGTAGATCCATACAAATTTTATATATTCATCACACTCTAAATACATCCCTAATACAATTTTAAAAATTACTATATTCATCCAAACTTTAATAAATGTAATTGAAAAGACAAACTCTAATGGTGGAGGCAAGACTCCCATCTTCTGACATGATTTTGTTATTTTGAAAAAAAAAAAACTAACTAACTAACTGATGAAATTTGTTTTCAGGTATTTAGTGTAATAGCAATACTAAATTCATAATAAAACGCAGTCTTTACTTTTTCAAATTATTTTTCATATATTGCTATCTATGTTTTCATGTATTTCCTTTAATGGTACTCCTTCCATTGTTGTTTTGATTTCAATATTTTATAATTATTAGAGAATATAAAAAGGTTTTAAAAAAATTAATGAAAATAAATATTTGTGGATGAATTTAAAAAGATATATTTTTATTTAATTTTATATATGTCCATCTAGGTAATATAATTATTTTTTTCCAATAGTGGATATATATGTATAATGTGGAGGTAAATAACGTCTCCCTTACATTTTTTGACGTCAAAATTGCTGTGATTTATATGTTTGCTGTTACTTTGGGAATCAAATAAGTAAAAGAAGATGCGTGCAAGTGTGCTCGACCTTCTACAAAAGAAAAAACTAGGTGATTGACTAGTGACTACAATTTGATAGAGTTTTGGTTAATTCAAATTGGATACGTGACTAAAGAAATATAGCCCATGTTTGACACACATTCTTTCAAAACTCATTTTTAACCACACATTCGTCAATAAAATAATATTTTTCATCACATTAATAATTTTTCTTTATTTTTTAACTACATATTTTTCATCATATCATTATTTAAAATACATTATTTCCTTAATAATATCTATCGAACACACCCATAGCCTGTGATGCACCAAGATGCTTTCAGCGTCGACAAGTCGGTGTCTGATGCGTCTAAGACATTGACAAAGTTTGGATATATCAGCGTGTCGAAAGTTTCTATTGATTTTCTAGGATCCAATAAGTTTCGTGAAAGGTTGGTGAACTTGGAAGCCCCAGCGGCTTCCAACGGTTAGGTGCACAGATGTAGTGGTTTGTTTAGACCAAAGGAATAGCTTTCATGGAGTAGCTTTTAAGCTTGGTCAGGTATCGATTTCATGAGTTCTTTTTGATCAACATCTCAGCTCTTTTAAGAGAACTATACATTTGATTGACAATTTTCATATCATTGGTTAAGCATTAAGGGCTGTCGTGGTGCTTCACATTATATAACTCATATGCTAAACGATATTCGAGGAGAGGGATTGTGCTTGATGCTCCGTTCAGTTGAGTGCAAGTCTCAATCAGATGGAGCTTAACCGAGTGTCTTTCTACTTACCAAACTACGTAGGTTTCCTCGACATTGCTTTACTGTATGGTTGAGCAACGTTTTGATTAACCAGTCTTCTTTTGACTCTGTTAAGGCCTAGTCGACCCTCTTTACTAGTAGGGTGTTTGGTGTAGATTAAAATCAGATTTTAAGTGGATTGTGATAGAAGTTTTTGAAATGTGTGATTGAAAAGATGTGTGACACATGAAAGATGTGGTTGATATTGATTATTTGACTTAGATTAAAATCTGGCCCAAACAGGCTTTAGGTATAACATCAAGTTGTATTAAATTCATAGATAACCACAAGTTATCCTTGATGGCCAATAATCATAATTCATAGAAGGATTTTGTGTGATTATCAGCGTTTAAAGGCATTCTTAAGACGTTATAATTAAGATGATATGATGGATTATGATTTTATTTGGCATAAATAAAGGCCCATATGTCTCTCAAGTATAACATCAGGTTTTTTTTTTCCAGAATTCCATGCGCAGGAAATGATGGCATAAAACAACTTTCTAACTGTTTATAGTTGTTCCAGATCATGCGCACGCTGTTCCTTTTCAATTCGAATCGCCTGACCCTTAAAATCTCAATTTGGCATCAATTAAGCAAATGCTAGTCGGCTAGTCCGTATGGTCAATACCTATTCAGTAATGCTATTCATATTCAACTATTACAGTAGCTATCCTATGTGACGGCTTGTTATTTTATGCACTAGCTTACTATTTGAGACAACAAAATTACAAAAAATTAATACATCAAATAACAAGCTACTATATGGGATTACTGCAATCGCTGTTTAAGAATCACATTATTTATATCTATAGTCTATGTATTTAAAAATTTTGAATTGCGTTTCTCTGAATGAGGCTAATTTTCGAGCTATGAGTAAGGTGTTGTATTGTCTCAATGTCTAACGCTATTTTAATGGTAAAATTATATTTCATTTAAATATAAAGTTAGCTCGATAGCAATAAATTATCGAGGAAATAGAATTGACAGCAATAGCATTACAATTGAACGTAAGCATTTGAAGTAGCCGAATCTTAAGCTCCAACCAAAGCAAGTATTCTTTGAAGATTCTAAATTCTATTCGGAGCCAACTAAGCTAACGAGTTGCGAAAGCCTGCTCCAACACCTCCAGATCAAATGGCTACCAAAGATTTGTATTTGTTTATAAAATTTCCTAGCGGATGGATAATACCTGGAGTGGTTATTTACGATATTATGTGATTTGAGCGATCAGATGTCCGTACAATATGAATGGGATTAGCCGCGTCAAGGTAGAAACACAGTTGAATGATTTGGTAGCACAGTTTAGTAACCTGTCAACTATAAAAAGTAAGTATGAAGATATTTTACAAGGGAATTGGACAAGGCAGGCAATCAATCTCCTCTCCTCCTCATGTTGTCTAGCACTAATCTATAAGTGAATGAACTTTATATCCTATCCTGAAACTGGATGGTCCGACCCAGAACCATTATTATATTTATAATAATCTATATAAAGTTAGACAATTTCCTTGGCCTACCACCACCACTCACATTTCTTTTAGGAAAAGTAAAATACAATAAATTTGATAATTAATTACATAATTCTTATTGAGAGCGAATAAATACACCTTTATTATGTGACACGACTGATCAACCAAGTTACAGATGGTATTTCTTTTCTCATAATTTCTCCTTTTAAGTAATCCTCTCCTGGTTTAAATGAAAATACACTAAATGAATTGTATTTTCTTTTCAATATTTTTGTTATGTTCAAAGAACCGAACCCGAACGGTTCCTAAATTATATTTGGAACCGACGGTTTTATTTACTAAATACCCGAAAATTTCTGGAACCGAAAAAAATCGAACCAAATCGAACCGACCCGTGCCCACCCCTAATTAAGAGCGGATAAATACACCTTTATTATGTGACACGACTGATCAACCAATTTGCAGATGGTATTTCTTTTCTCATAATTTCTCCTTTTAAGTAATCCTCTCCTGGTTTAAATGAAAATACACTAAATGAATTGTATTTTCTTTTCAATATTTTTGTTATGTTCAACTTCCTCGACTTATAAAAGTCGAACCAATCTTTTTCTCTCTCTCAATTGTCGTGAAAATCGACTCAACGTGCGTAAGGATTTATTGAAAGTCTGTTGTGCACACAGATACGAGGTAGTAACATATTAAGGAGGCCAGGGTAAATATCATTCTATTGATTTTTTAACGAAATTTTGGCCACCTATCTTTCCAAAACTTATCGTAACTTCTTAGTTAGCCATCATATTGTAACAGATCTTTCACTTAATCTTTACATGGTATTCAAATTCAAAATGGTAAAATGAGAAATATGAAAATATAATTATATTAAAAAAATTAAAAGACGGATTTTTATGCTAACATTTATATGGCATGACGTCGTGATAAGGTGGCATGCCATACGTTGGTTAAATGAAAGATCTCTTGCAGCATGATAGTCTAAGTAATTTTCATCAATTTGGATGACGGTCAGGGAAAGAGTGATGAAATTTAAAACCAAAATTAAATTTCACAAATCAAAATTTGATGATGCAATTGATATTTCGATGAAACTTCAGCGACCGCAGATGAAATTATTTACCCAGAAGGCCTAAAAACAATGATGAAATTGAGCGACGTGACATTGGGAAAAATTGTCTACCCTGAAAAAGACAAATGGGATGGGTTTATTCAATGCTAATTATTACACACTTTCATTTGAAATAAACAATACAACCAATGTGGAAATTCTCGCGGAAATTAACCTAACATGCAAAAAATG